AAAAATATTAATTAATTTAAAAAATGAGGAGAAGTATCCGGAATTATTTATTATTGATAGTTTTATTATTTTTTTTATATTTTTATTCGACAGATCGATGGATAATTGTTTGTAGTATTGTTTTTATCCAGACAATAGATTTGAGAGTGAATAATAATAATAATAAAAATAAATAATAATCGATCATTAATTATTCATATTAATTAGTATGGGCCAAGATAGATTAATCTGTTTTTTATTTTGCAACGTTTATATAATATTAACGACCATATTAACGACATACTTATTACATTATTATAATCGTCGTTGAAACCTCATCATCGGCTGTCACTACAGATATAAAATATATATCTGTGGCTATCACCGACCAACATTATAAATTTTTTAATACGTAATATTATTATTATGTCATATTGACGTGGCTCGATTATAATATAATATAATATAACAACACTACCATGAAAATATTTATTTATTTACGGACATGTACGCTTTCGCGTTCGTACGGCCGCCCGTTCGCTTTTTTTTCCCTCACTACCCTGCGTAAAGAAGTATAACTTCAAAAATATACGTCATAATCACAGTTTTTTTTAAATGTTTATTTTAAGTTAGTACCTCTACACATAATATAAAATGGATTAGACTGGCAAACTTTCTCCTCTGTATCTTATAAATATGATAATATAGCTGATACCAACTCAATTTAGCATTTTTATTTAATAGTTTATGAGCTTATATGACAAAATATAATACAATATATGATATGATAATTAGGTATATATAATAATTTTATATATTATATGATATCCTATCATAAAAACTATTATTTATCTGTAACCAATAATGATAACCTTATAATACAAACAAAAATATATTTTGTATTAAGGTTTCGTGAGCAGAATCTATATTAATGTGTGAGTCACCTGTATGGGTCGAAAAACAAAGCTACAAATCCCCCACCCCAAGTCTCAAAGAATCTATTGGTATAAATTTTATTCAAAACGTTAAAGTAGTTTTTGAGTTTATACTTTATAGAGAACAAATAAAGAAAGAAACATTCATTCTTGTTGTATATATAGACATGTTTACCTGTGCGTGATTTATTATCTACTCCTGGACCGTGATTTTCGATTGCTGCACCCATACCTCCTTTGACTTTCAAAAAATCCGCCACTTTAAACATGACATCCTTCGATGTAGTCATGCTTTTCATTTTTCCAGACATAATATAACCATACGCAGAAAAGTAGCTATAAATATAGCAATAATATCTATTAATAATCTACAGGTATAGGTAATTATAATATTGTTATAGGAGTTAAATTTCAAAATCAAAACAATAAATCACCTATTATATGGCTCTATAATATGACTTTTGTGTTGGTTGTTGATGAGAAAACATAACTAAGTATAATTTTTCTAATTTGAAGGAAATATAATGTTGTATAAAATAAGCATTAGAAAAATATTTTCACGATAATTATAATTAATATTTTTTAGTTCAAATATATTAAATTCTCCATATTTTGAAAAAAGTGCTTGTAGGGCCCCCACAGATTACTTAATCCAAGCCTGCATCTAGTACGTGGTCCATAGAGATATTATAATTATGTGATAGAAAAGATATAAGAGTAATATTATTTGTAATTAAAAAATAATATTTACACGTACTTATCTTTCGTGGTTCTCAAGTTTGCCTCCAACATTTTGTCCGGCAAAATGATCTTTTCAAATATTTTCATCGTTGGTACTTTTCTAATTGAGCTTAACACAACTTGAGATTTGGATAACATAGAATTCCAGAACGTCATATTCAATCGATTTAAAAACGTAAAGATTTCACTCTTTTTATTAAAAAACAAAATATATTGATTTATAGCGGACTATAGATAACAATATACAATAATTTTGTAGGTAATCAAATCAACTTAGATCAATAAATCGTAAAACAAATAAATTTCCATAGTTACGAAAAATATTACTATTTTATAAAATGTTTTGATATTATTTTTAAAATAAATGTTATATTTCAGCTTATAAATCAGTTTTTCTAATAATTTTAAATTCAGAAAAACTATTTTTACATCTTACTGACAACTTAAAATCTCTTCATGTTCCACAATTAGATGTAAAAATTATTAAACACGCTATCAACACTTTTTCATTAGACAAAAATATATTTCCAGATTTAAATTGTAACAATGTAACTTTTCTTGAACGACCACACAAATTAATATTAATCACCCTAATAACAAAAAAGTTTTTAAAAATAAGATTAAAATCATTTGGAAGAATGTTTTCTTCTGACATATTAAATCCAGTAAGCCAAAGACACAAGTTGACAAAACTTATTTTATTTTCAAATCAATGAATTGAATCTAAATTTAATTGTAATTTTAATTGTAACTGCACAACAGAGAATATAATATATCGATATTGTCAATAACTTATTTTGATTATAATATGATTTAGTATAAATAATCTGTGATAAATTATGTGATTAGTGTATACAAATAAATGCATTATTATATTATAATAAACTAAGATTATTATACTTAGTAGTTTGAACTTTTTTGAAAATAACACCCAAACGTCCCAAACTCGGAAAACATTAATTTGACAAATTATTTAATGGACTTTTATTAACTAACAAAATTCTTATCATTATTGATGTTTTGTAAACATTGCCCTGTTGGAATATGGCTACTTTTGCTTCACAAAATACAAAGTCGGCTATCTAGTTGTTTTATATATCTGTGTTAGGGCCGTTCTTACGATGTCCGGTTAAAGTTAACCGACACTTAGAAGAATTCTGCCGGTAATAAAATCTGTTATCAGTCGGTTAGCGTTAACATGTGTTAATATTATAAAATCATAAGAAAAAGGAAAAATTAAAATTGTCCAAACGTCATAATTTCACAAATTATTCGTGGCTTATTTATTTATCATCAGAAGTTATTAATAAACTATAAACATTTAATACTGAGTAAACTTAATAAGTTAGACAGGGACTAGGTACCAGATATTGATATAATACATGCTTGTCATTACTCATTTATTATATTTAAATATTTAATTTAATAAAACAAATATTTACAATTAAATTAATATTTCGACGACGCCACGACGGCAATATATGGCATCGAACAGCAAAAAATAAATGAATAAATGATAACAACTTTGGTAAATTCATATTTATGAATACTTTTTTTCCTATGATTTAGAAAAATATACCTGGTAGTGATAATTAATATTCTAATGTATTGTTCTAGGACCAAGAATTAGTAATTACATTGTTAGTCCTTATAAAAATGATGTAGTTTCAGACAAGGAGGATAATGATGACTAACATTGTAAATTATAATAACTGATTTTAAAATATGAAATTGTTACATTATATTTTAATTAATACCATTACTTTATTGTCTATATTAGGTGTAAGTCCTGAAATGTTTTATCAATCACCAGTATTTAAAAAACTTCCTTCATCAACTCAATGTAACATTCTAAGTGGTGGAGAAACTGGTAAAATTATAGGACTTTTTAATTTTATTTTAATAACCTAAATGTATTATAGTCTTTATAATTTAGAACATGAATCACAAATTGTTCAAAACCACCATAAGACAGAAGGGACTTCAACGAAACACATTGATCAAAACACTAGTACCTATGTACATCTAACATTAGTATTTTTTTAAATTTATAGTTAATTTTATTTAATAATTTATTATTAAATTAATATATTGTTTTAATAAATATTTATTGTGCTTTTATTTTCAAGCATTTTTGCGGGGCCAAGTTAACATAATTAGCAAACTTGATGAACTTCTCGAGAGCAAAGCAACAATGACAAACCACCAAGAAGATGACTCAACTTTTTCTTCAAAGTATAAAAAGTTATTACCAGCTGCTAATGAAAACCAATTAAAAGAATTAGAAAATGAGTTGAAAAATAGAACATTTGTTGGAAACTTAGTAAGATTAAGTGATTTTAATTATAAGTTTAATTGCAAGCTCTTATGTCAATATTATAAAAGTTTGATCGCTTCTAATAATATTGTATAACATGATTTTTATTTTATGTACAGTGTACTCAATATAAAAATTACGGCGGGCAAGATTACACAGTACTATTGAAGAGAATTTTAGAACACACTATAACGGATGAGTTGGGCTGTGAAATTAATTTCACTGGAAAAAAAAGAAATAACACTGATAAAAAGAAAATTGGCTTTATGAAACTATATCTGTATCAATGTATTTTAGGCAAGTAATGTTGGTTATAATATTTAAAATTTAGTCGGCATTTATACAACGACCAATTAGGTGGTGGTACCCCCCCCCCCCCCGGGTACGGATATTAAAAACCACCTATGAAATATGGTCAAGGCCCAAGGGGACGGAGTGGCCGAGTGGTCTAAGGCATAGGTCGCGACGCAGCCGGTGTCAGCTCGATTCCTTGGTCGCGGGTGGCAATTTTCTTTGGGCAAGTCACGGTGAATAAGTGCCACCATCTCCCACCCGGGCATGGCAAATACCTACGGGTGCCCCAAATAAAAAATTCTGCCAAAACAAACACACACGTGTAACAAATCTACAGTACCCTCCCCTACAGTACCACAGGCTAATGACCTAAGTTGTCGAACTGTCGAAGCCTTAACCCTAATAAAAACTAATTTTATAATAATTTTATTATATTTCTGATATTAACACAACAAAGTATATTATCGTTGTAGAATTGTGAATTGGGTGTGTGGGGGTAAAGCCCCCACGGGTCTGTGTGATAAAATTTAGGTGGTGGTGGTCGAGCATTTATACTTGCCTCATAAAATAAAATAGTTCACGCCGCCACTGATAATATATGGTCCAAATCTACGGCGGACCGACTTAAAGAAATCTGCGAAGGCTGCATTATGTAAGGGCGGCCTCGACGTTTAATCGTTTTTCCGACTACTTCAGTAGACCGTGTTGTATCAACCGTATTTTTTAAGTCATATTCACAAGTCCTTACCAGCCGCTGGAATATGGATTCCGTGATCAGGTCCACCATATCTGTCGACTGTCGGTCCATTTAATTCGGCTGTCGCAGCAGCAATGTTTGCAAAATAAAGTCCTTTTAGCCGCTTAGCCGCCATCGCACCGTAAAATCGAGGCCGGCTTGAGAAACCATGGTTGAAATCCTCGGCGGACCGACTTAAAGAAAATGTGCGTAGGCTGTGCATTATGTAAGCAAGCGCGGCGTCGACTAACCAATGCCGGCGAAAAACGGTACTGTCAGTTTACCATAATCGAACTCTATATATAAAAACCACACAAAACAGCATTTGGGCTCAAGATCCGTCAGAAAATCCTCGGTAATACTATAATAACTATATTATACAATGTGTAAAACTATTAATATAATATCTATATTGTTTTCATATTTTTTTTCTTTAGTACAACAAACGGATCGGAGAGCTTAAATAGAACATATGATGCACAGTTTCATAGTCCACACCCTTCTATTAATTTGGTTATATCAGTTCTGAAGGAAACACAACAAGAGAATTGCACACAAATAAAATCAGCATCCAAAGGACGTCTCAATGAAATGGCCTTAACCGACAAACAACGTTTATACCACACAATTAACGAATATAAAGAATATTTAATTCACAAAAATATAATCAAATAGTTGTAACAAGTACCAAGGTATCAAATTATAATTTTACATATTTTTTACATATTTTTACATGCATACACTTTATGTTTTGAATTGACAAATTTTCATTAACTTTTTTATTGACAGTCAAATAAATAACAAATTGAAAATAATTATAACAATTACATTATATTGTATTATTAACATTGCAGATAAAATCGTACGAAATCGTGTTGTTTATGTGCTTAATTTGAAAATCCATTGTTTGATCAAATTCGTACGGAACCGCGTGTTGTCAAAAAGGTAAAACGTACGGAATCGTGCTTTACAGCAGGCGAGGGGCAACTCCGGTGCACAGGCGGTATTTGCCAAGAGTCCTTTACACAACCAGCCGCCGGTACGTAGACTCTGGTATTTACCAAATCATTTGGCACTTGGCTTTCCGCTGTCGCGGAAAAAATTAGATTACCTATGTTTTATGTATTTATGTATACACTAAATTGCTTTGATTACAAATAATATATGCTTATGTTGAATAATTCAATACCTATCGGTTTCAATTTTATTTATTATTAATAATCAACACCAAAATACAATTGAAAAAAAAAACGTGGGCAAGTGACCCAGTCTCTGTGATTTATACGTTAAATTTTAATTCAATGATATAAAAACATTGAATACGAAAAACGGTTCTGACTTTGATCTGCCATCTTAAAGACAATAATATTACTAAGCATATTTTATAATATTACGGCTGTTAAGATAAACTATTTTACTATTAGACAATAGCACAGTACTTAAAATATAGATTAAAGTAGTTTTTTCCAAAATACTTGCATTTAAAAATTTTACTGCGTGTATACAGCAAATAATTTTATATATACATTAATAGTTTCAAGTAGGTACCTACCCACAGTAAAATGTTTAAATTATAACAAATACATACTGAATAATACGCATTTGTCAACATGTATATTGTATACCCACCGGTGTCCGGTTGTTGCTTGTTCGATAACTATTTATTTATTTGACATATTATTGGGGGTTTATTTTTGGTATCGTGGAAGACTTGAAGACTACGCATGAATTAGTGCACTAATACAATACATGTATTGACGTATTGTTTATAACCTATGTATAATATTATGTGTTGTCACTTTTCAAATATTAATGGGATTGTCAAATGTGACGCTACTTCATTTTTTACCTGGGGGCTGGGGCACTTTATTCTTATATACGCCACTGAATATTCAAGCAGAATTAAGTATGTAGCTTAAAGTTCTACTAGATCATAGTAAGCCTAAGTCTATTATATATGTATAAATTATGTAACAGCAACACTAACGCCTAACGGGTATAGACAGACTTGAGTCTATTCGGGCTCCAGTGCGAATGGGACAATTGTTGAGTTGGAGAAACATACGCATGACCCTGATGAACAAGACCACAATCACATTTTAAAAAAAGCATTTAGGCAAATACTGAAAGACCGTTCTAAAAACGAGACAACAAGACTCCGGACAATATATTATGAAGAAATGATTAGGTAAACATGAAACTAAACATTACTTATAAGTTATAATTTATATAATTTATATCATCCCAAAGATTATTTGAGCAAAGAAGATTGTTCTTTTTTATCTGGAAAAGTTGTAATTTGATATAATAATTATTTGCCATCATAAGTCGGTGGTGGTAAATCTTTAGTTAGCAGTATTAGACAAAAACTAGTTAACAATATATACCTACAGTCAGTGGTGTATATACAAATTATTTTCACTATGGGCAAATTTTGTCAATTTATTCAAGCTAGCAAGACTAACATGGCCATAATATTATAAATATATTTTAGGGAGCTGGGTGGTTATAATTATGACATAAAATACAAATAAAAATTGTGCATTTAATTTTATAATTATGTAAAATTAATTTTTTAATTCTTTCTAAAAAAATATTGACAATTTCATGACAAGTACATGAATTACTTTAATCGAACCTGCAATTTCATTATGGGCTCTGGCCTGTAATTGCCTGTAATTATATTTTATTATGTACATAATAGGCATTGATATAATTTCTTGTTAAACATATTTAATGTTTTATGCTTTATTTATTTGTTTTAGACATACTAATAAAAAATATTACAATAATAAAATTATGCCTAGGTACCTATTTATAATATTAGGACAAATGTGTTGTATTTATTTGCACCCCTCATATAAAGAAAATACATCAAATAAACAAATTAAAATATTGATCTAAAAGTGTAAAATGAAATTAATTAAGATTAAACTTTTCAAATGATATTACATATTTAAAATATAATTAAATAGAAATTCAGCTGCTGCATCCATATACTCATGGCCAGTGGCTGGAATCTCGATGAGAAAAGCTAGGAGAACAACTATGCCAGTTTTACCATCATCATTGAGCGAATTGGCAAACTTCCTAGATTTCAATGTGCAACGTTATACTTATACATGTTGTCAACAGCCCTTCTTCCAAGATAAGGTTACAGATACACACGGGAAATGTTCAATAATTTTTGCATGCAGTGAACTTATTAGGAAAATTGTTATGCTTGGGAGTGATGAGTTGCATGCTGACGCAACTTTTAAAGTTGTGCCTTCAACTCCACCAATCCGTCAACTTTTTATCATGCATTTAATATACCAAAACCACGTGAGTTTTGTTAATTAAAACTAACCATTTTTAAGTAGGTATGCATTAATCATTTCTAATATTTTATTAGTCCATACCGATTGTTTATGCATTGATGGAATCGAAGACTGAAGAGGCATATACTCTATTATTAAGCAAGTGCAAAGAATTATTTCCATTTATAATTCCAGCGAATATAATGACTGATTTTGAATCTGGGTTGCTGAATGCTTTTAAATCTGTTTATCCAAATGCAGATCAGCATTCTTGGTTTTTCCATTATATACAGGTATTTTAATGATAATTTAAACATGTAGGTATCCATTATTTATTTATTTATTTATTTATTAATAACCGGCAGTGCCATTTGAATACAATTAGGTAATACACTTTAGATTTAAGAGGACTCTACAGTCTACACCCTCATGCGGTGTCTTCGTCTTCCAAACGCGAAACATAGCAATATGTACGTTTTGAATAATGCATTTAACTCAGTATGATTAACATTGGAATGAATTAAACTATTATAAAATTAAGAAATATTATCTACTGAACCTTATAGAGATGTTTTATATTTTAATTTTAAAGCAAGTTATGAGTGTTTTAAAATGCACAAACAATTTACAATTTTAAAATGTTCATAACTTGCTTTAAAATTTAAAAAAAAAACCTATGAGGTTCACTAGATAATTTTCTTACTTCTAAATTTGATAATAGGTCAATTCACTCTTATATTAATCTTATATTAACTGAGTTAAGTAGATTATTCAGAATGTACAACTTGGTATGTTCTGCATTTGTAAAACAGAGACAACGTTACTGGATGTAGCATCTTTTTAAGTAAAGAATAGTAAAATGTACATTGTAATACAAATAATAATAATGCTAAAAAGAAGATACATAATTTACAAAGTAGTTAAACACTAAACACTAAGGGTAATTAGATTAAAAAGGAGGGATCATCATTGGTGATAGATATTCATACAAGTCTTAACGGTTCATTTTTCATATAATTGCATATACCTATATAATTATATATTGCTCGTGTTATAATTATTATTTGAATTAAGTTACAAAGTTACAATAAAACATCATCCATTTGAGACATGCAATATTTTTACAATACAATTTAAATAAAAATTGTTTTAATACATATATTAATAGTTACAATTTTTTTTCTATATTTACTACTGGCATTTAATGGATTAATGGGGGAAAAAATTGAATAATTAATTAATAAATAATACATTGCCAAAGTTTAAACTACTTAACTAGATTATTTTTATTTGTTTGTATGGTAAATCTTATTAAACAGTATTGTTTATTCTCACTTTTTATTTCAGGCACTAGTAAAAAATATCAGAACAAGAGGATTAACGCGGTTTGTTAAATCCAATTTAAATGCGCAACTATGTGTGCAGATGTTTTGTGCATTGGCATTATTACCTAAAAATAAAATTGATGAAGGGTATACAGTACCTAATTCGCCAGTATGCCAGGGATAAGAACATATTCATGGATATGGCACCATTTTTTAGTTATTTTTCAAGGTGCGCCACTTATGTGTATAACAGTATGTTAATAAATAAATTAAATTGATGTTGTTATGTTTCAGGTATTGGTTAAATAATCAAAATGGAGGTGAGTATTTGTTTTCAGTACATGGAATAGCAAGGCGTACCAATAATAATATTGAATCGTTTCATCAGTCCCTAAAATTGTGTGTATTACGACGCACTGTGTAGTACGAAATTTGAAAGTGTGTTATTCTAATTAAACCTACATAATAATATTATGTATAATTTTATATCTTCACATTTTTTTTTATATTTTAATGGTTGCCAAACCACATTTTAATTATAAACGCAGATACACAGTAAAAAAATTGTTGTGTTATTAAGTCTTAAACTCTTATTATAA